GATATTATTGAGAATGATCACTACTCATCCCATCATAGATGCAGAATGCTGAACCTGGTTCTGCCGCGGCGGAACCGTGCAAGTTCCACTTTGGCACATCAGCTGAGAGCTAGAAAATGCTCTCTCAGCGTGCATATGGACTCAATAGGTGCAAAAAATGGCGTGAAATCACGGAATCGTCAGCGCAGCCCTTGTTACACTTGGCCCCCGATGGCGCCAATGGCAGCAGGCACGGAGCAGCCCAGTTCGCCCTCGATCGAGCACCTTTGGCATCGGCTTCGGGAATTTTCTGACGCCAGGTGTTTGATATGAGGTTTTTCATCGCCGTTTCGGCCGAGTTATGTTCGCCATCGAGTTCGGCCTGAATACTTTCACATGGCAGAGGGCGCGGGCGGATATTTGCCAAGACAAACGGTACTTACGGCAGATCCGGCTGCGAACGAGCGTGCTTGGACAACCGCCCTCTCATCATCATCGATCACTGTCGAGAAGACGATCGATGCCAATGAGTTTGAGAGGAGCCGATGGGTGAAGGAAGGGGAGGATGAGGGGTCAATGGACCACAGAAAGTATTAGTGAAAAAACGATTGTGGAAAATCTTTGTCTAAGGTCAGGGACGAAACGTACAAAAACCTTTTGACACATTCACGACAAGACAGATTCTTCATTACTGTCGTTTCGGACAGAAGCCTTCTTTGCTTTTTCGAACTTACGACCCAAGGGCGGATCTTATTGTCCGAAATGGCAGCACGTGTACGACCCATCGGTGGATTGTATTGTTGTGAATGTGTTTAACCGTCCGAGACTTCTGGCTCAAATTTCGCTAATTTTTGGCAGGGAAGGACAAGTTCACAGAGATAGGGTATGCCAAGGAAAACCCCTCAATAAAAGAGTTTGTGTACAGTATCAAAAGTGGCCGTTATCGTAAGCAAGCAAATCTGTTCTGAAAGTGTCTGGAACGAAAACAAAACGTACACATAAAATTCCTCATCCAAGAGTGTTGAGCTGTCAGGTTTCACGATACCACAATCAATGTTTGGAAGTTAGCGCACTGTTGCTTGAAATATCATTCGTTTTCACGTACTAGATTTTCGCAAAAGATAAAAAAACAAAGTGTGTCCTTTTTGACCCACAATGTAGCATAATGAAACCTCTTTAGGCCGTTCATACCTCGAGCGATTTCAGTCGCCTGGCAACTTAGCTTTGACAACTTCTTTATAAGCAACTAATAGGCTTCGGGTGCGCAATCCGCCCAAGTTTTGAAACTTGATAAGCATATATATTCAAAGTGACCATACGATGGATCTCAATTATTATTCCAAAATCGCTTAGGGCTGAGATCGCGTGTTGTATGTACGGCAGAAGAAATCACTCGACATAACCATATCCATGTGCTCCCCTTTCAAGAATTATGGTATGAGCAATTCTTACTATGTTTCGAGTATAAACTAGCTCTAATGCTCACATTCTACTCCTTCAATTTCCTTCTTCAGAATGAAATAAAGTGTTATCAAACATTTCTATCACAGGCTGCTACTGATTCTTATGCATGCAGCGAAAATTTTCTCCATTTGGATCCTAGAATAATTTGTTAAATTCAGGGTGATCTGCTGATGGAATGTCTTCTGGAGGCTGATCCACCACCAACAATCGCTTGGCAACATGCTGGAAATGTCATTTCGCCATCGGCTCGAGTCCTACAGGTCCTCAGCCCGATGGGAGGCATTCTCTACAAGGCCAACCTGATCATAAAGGTATGTCCGCTGATTGAAATTTGATCTACATCAACGCTTGTCCACCTACCTTTGCATTCTGATCTCTGTTTGTCGATTTTGTTCCGCAATATTTGGCACGTCATTTCTATTCCCCTCCTTCTCATTTTTAAGTTGTGCTAAGCTTGAGTTCATCCTTTGCACTTTTT